TAAGATGCCTACAGCATGACCGCCACTGAGCCCGGTTTCTCAGTAGTATATTAAACAATGTACAAAATGTTTGTTAGTCTAAAATACTGTTAAATATAATAATTTTATTTCTAACATAAGCAAAAAAAATCATATTCATTCTGGCACAATAAAGAAAAAAAAATACTGTACTGCCTCCTTGTCTAGTTCCTCATTTTATTTTCTCCATACCTTGCTATTTTCCATTTTTTTCATGAACACTTTCACATTTTTTACCCAAGCAAGCTTAAAACTTAATTCCTCTATATCTTTATTATATACTTTTTTATTACATATTTTTATTGCTCGGTGGTAAGTTTGAATACTTATAATGCAAAAAATTGGGTTTTGATATCTATGATTGTGCAGCTTTGCACTTAACAACAAACCGTTTGGCAAACATTGTTACATGTATATTGTTTATTTTACTCTGTATCATTGATTAGAAACATTCCTTAACTGTAACACATAGTAAAAGTATTTAACATTTGGTTTTTCAGTTTCAAAACACACATCACACATTTATAATGCCATTTATAAAATCAAGTGGGCTAAATATTATGCTAAAAATTACAAAAAGAAGAAAAAAGAGTTGACCTGATTATACATGTTTTTTTAATATTTTTTTAAAACATGCACAGATTTATTCTTTCAGGTTTGGAAAGAGCTAGATGCTCGTATCACTGATGCGTTTAATGAAGCAAGAGACAATGTTAAATTTCTCTACACATTGGAAACATTTTGTGAGCCATTATACAAAGGACAACTGGTAATTCCGTTTAATCTTCTTTTTACCCGTAAATGTTTCACTATAACTTACAGTTTTATTTATCAGATTGAGTAATTATGTTGATAACTTTATACAACTTGTACTCAAGTAGAGTATTAAGTCGTTTAAACTGTGATTGTATAGAGTCAGCTTTTCTTTTCTGCATTACTGGTGATTTAAATATAAATGTACTAGTGTATAATATTTTTAGAATCCATAAAATATTTATTTTGTAAATGACAGTTTTTGAACGAGTTAAAAATGATTAAACTTCAGGAAACCATGCAAGAACATGTCTCTAGTCTCATCAATGCCATTCGAATGATTCATGCTGTCTCTAGGTATTACAACACCTCAGAGAGAATGACTTCCCTCTTCGTAAAGGTATTTTTTTTCTTACCTGCATTTTAATTCTATTTAAAGTTTTTATGGGGTTTCTAAAGAATCTCTGGGAACATTACTTCTTTGCTAGTGTGTGGTTATGGTGAAAGCACTCTTGGTTATTAGGGTGGTCATCAGTAAGGACATGTAAGTGAAATTGAAAAATGGATTGATACCTTATAACCTGGATTTTATTTCACTATCTGTGCTTAATATGAATTAAAGAGTTACAACACTTGTAATCTCAATATATGTGTGTCGCCATGTACTATCAGATGCGTGAATACAGTTACAGGGAATCTTTAGTTACTATAGCTTTTCTAAAACAGTGTTTCTTTCATGATACTATCTGTTGTTCAATCTGTAAGAAAGCAGTGTAAAATGGCAAATGTAATAATCAAATGAAATTGAAAATTTACAAGTGTATTTGTTTACTTTTGTATGAAAAATAAGAAAGTGAACACTGGTGCTTTAGTTGCTTCAAGTACACATTATTAATTACTAATTTTGTAATGATAGTAATACATGAAAAACTGGATTATTAATAAAAGTTAGTGGATTGAACAAAATGTTTGATAATTTTTGAGAAATAGAAAATTTGCTTCAGTAAGAGGTGTGCAGTTCTTGAATTTTCTATTTGTAACTATAACTTTTTTATACTGTTTGAATATCTATACTGAGACAAAACGTTATGCTTAATATTGGCAACCATTTTATTGATCACAATATCTTTAACTTACTAAATATAACTCAACTAATATTGTATATTTATTATTTATCATTTTGTATGTTACAAGTTTATTACTTTAGGTTTTAATCCCCTCTCTGTGTTAGTTTATAGTACTTGCAGGTGCACTAATTTCCAATAGGTAAGAATAGCATTCTTATGTTACTTGAGAACACATTGGCATAAATCTAAGGAGGGTACACAGTGCCATTTTCTGTGGGAAAGCTCAGAAATACCAAAAGGGAAATTACCCTTGACATGAACTAACTCAAGAATGAGGTCATTGTGTTCTAAAGCCAATTATTTGTTATTACTTGTATTGCACATTCACCAAACACTTCTTAGTGTAATTACTTTTTTGCACAAGAAATGTTAACTTTCTAAGCTATATTTTCAGATTTTTTTTTTGCTTTAGAAAGTTTCTTCTGATGTTTTTTAAAACTCTTACCACAAATCTTGACAAAATGACTTAAATTTGGCATGTAGATTTTTGATCCCCTTTAGAAATATAGATGAAGAAGGATGGAAATTTAATGCAAACTACCACAAATTAAAATTAAGATGGACATGTAAGGGATCCTTCAAAATAAATATTTAGATTTACACTTTCAAACTTTTCATAATGGAGTTCCCAATAAGGTTTGAAGGGGATTTTTGGGGTTCTCAGAATTGGTTATAGAAATATACTTGGAAATAAAGAAAATGTAAATAGTCAATCAAAACAAGGTATTTGAAATTTATTTGCAAAGTAGTTATTTCATGGATAATTTATTAATTGCTAATTTCAAATTAAAATGCTGTACATATTATATGTATTTTGATATAACCAAGTATAATTAGCCAGTATAATAATTAAGAATAGGTATATTAGTTAAAATTCATCAATCTCAGTGAACTGTTGTGTGTGTAAAATTATCAGTGAAATTCTTCAGCACTTGATTTGTAAGTTAATTTGTATGAAGTGGTAATAGAAAAAATAAAGCATAAAATAATTTTTTTTTTTTTGTTTTTTGTGGATTCCATGAGCCATATACTTATTCTCGTGGTTTTCAGATGTTTTAGACTCTCTTTTAAACAGGGTGAAGGACTCAGTATACAGCTCATAATTTATTCTGGAAACCAAGAGAAAAGGCAAAAGTATAAATAAAATTCTATCAGAATGTTAAATACTGGTGTCTTTGTCAATTTAATCAAGAGAAATCCAACAAAATTATGAGCTCTAAGCAGGACTGTACTGATCATTGATGGTACCCTGTATGAGATATAGATACTGTGCTCCTGCTCAAAAAAATCTAAACTATCCTTGCCTTCAATGATGCAAACTTATGCCTTCTATGGCTTAGCAATCTGTGTGGGTGCACAGCTTGCACTACCCTTGGTATGGTTCTGGTTCTAACATGGATCTAAATCTCTGACTTTTTCTGCTGAAACTTTTAAGATAGTAGAAAAACTAGACCTATTTAGTAACACATATATTCTATGCTAAACTGATTATTTATTTGCTCAGGTGACAAACCAGATGGTCACTTCATGCAAACGATACATCACAAATGATGGACTCTCATGTGTCTGGGATCAATCTCCTAAAAAGGTTATAGAAAAACTTAAATGCTGCCAGAGACTGTACCATGATTATCAGGATAACTTTAAATGTGTGAAGAAAAAAATCAAGGAAACTGCAGGAGAAGAATCTTTTAAATTTTCAGAAATGTATGTATTTGGAAAATATGAAGCATTTTGCAAGAGGCTTGACAAGGTAATAAAAATTCCTTCAGTATGACTAACAAGTAATAAATATTGAATAAACTATTTACTAATAAACACAAATGCAAAGAAAAATTGTTTTTGAAATCATAAATTTTTTTGAATAACTATAATGTTTCATACTCAATACTTATACTCCTGCATGAATTTCTTTACAGGGATATCCATCTACAAGTTGTCTTTGTCTACTGTATTTTAGTTACTGTGGAAAACTTAGATACACAATGACATAAATGAAATAATAAAAATAAATTTTAATAGTCTTATATTAAATGACTGCAGGGAAGTGCATCATTCATAATAGTAATTACCTGAACCACTATTACAGTTTTTTCTATTACATAAGTTCATAAAGTTCATAAAATTCTAAAGGGACAAAAATGAGCTTATTAGCCCATCAAGGATGTCCCTTCCAGCTCCCAACTATAACCATCCCTTACTGCTCATGTATTCATTCAATCTTTTCTTTAATTCAGTTAAATTTTCTGCCTCCATGACCTTTGAAGGTGGCTCATTTTCAAAGTCAACCACCCTGTTTGAAAAGTAATGCAGTATAAACTGAAGATGACTCCTACACTGCCAAAATTTGAATTTATCACCCCTTGTCCTATTGTTTTCACTGTTAAATGAAAAGTAATGCAGTATAAACTGAAGATGACTCCTACACTGCCAAAATTTGAATTTATCACCCCTTGTCCTATTGTTTTCACTGTTAAACACAAAAATATTTGTTGGGTCTATATTATCAATACCCTTAATAATCTTAGACATCTCTATCGAATTCTTTCTGACTCTTCTCTCCATAGAAAACAAGTTTAGAGATCTTGCTCTCTTTTTCATAGGACAATCCCATCATCCTAGTGGCTCTTCACTGAACCTTCTCCAACAATTCAATGTCCTTCTTGAGGAAGGGAACCTAAAACTGTACACAGTACTCTAAATGAGGCATTAAGTGAAACAATAATATCCTTTGTGTTCTATTCAATATGTCTTTAGATGCTACCCAAAATCCTGTTAGCCCTGTCACGAGCTATAATACACTGTTTAGATGACTTAAGTGATTTTTTTATCACAACCCCAGGATCTTTTTCTTTAACCACAGTAGTTAATGTATTCCCATTTAAATTGTAACGATAATTTGAATTGTGAAAACCTAACATTTTGGATAGTTAAACATCATCTGCCATGTATTGGCCCAATGAATCAAATGATCTAAATCTCACTGAAAGTTTGTAGCATCTTTGATACAGTTAGCCACCCCTAAAATCTTAATGTAACCTGCAAACTTCAACATTTTGTTAGTCATTCCAGAGGCAATATCATTAATATAAATCACAAATAGCAGAGTATCCAGCACAGAGCCCTGAGGCACACTGCATATAACTGTGATACAGTCAGATCTAACTCCATTTAATACTACTCTTTGCTTTCTACTCTCCAGCCAGTTGTCTATCCAATTTAATAACATTTTCCCCACACCCACAGATTTTATTTTTGTAACAAGTCATTTGTGAGGCACCTTATCAAATGCTTCCTGAAAATTAAGGTAAACCACATCCACAGTATTTCCTTCAATAACTCATGCAGCAGCATCCGCAAAGAATGTCAG